CAGCCCCGGCTCCGTCCCCGGGAGGGTCGGTGCCGGGTCCGGGTCCGGCTCCGTCCCCGGGAGGGTCCTGGGCGCTTTCCCAGCTGACGCTGCTCCCGTCGGGCGCCACGAGCAGCTGGGGGTGAGCCGTGCCGGGGTCCAGCGTCACCGTCACTGTGCCGGAGGGGATTCCCTGGATCCTGCCGTCCCGCGGGAGGATCCTCGCGGTGAGGATTCCCCGGCTCCCTGCGGGGCTTTTCCCCTCGTTTCTCTTCGTTTGCTCGGCATCTCCCACCCATCTCTCACTTCAGCCCCCATCCCAGGACTTACTTTTCTCCGGCAGCTCAAACATCAGGATGTCTGAAAGAAGGGGAGAAGGGAGACATGGACTGATGTAAAATGCAGGGATAAGTGGGAACGGGAATGTGGGGAGGCTGTTCTGCCATGCTGAGGATGACGAACGGAACTGTGATAAGACAGGATTGCAGTCAAAAACTAAATGCTATTAAAATAATTGCAATAAAATACAGCATACAAATATAACAAATATAATTCATGATTGCACATATACATAATAAATATATAATAAGCATATAATAAATGCAATTTATATATATAATACAGTCAATGAAATTCATTGCTTCATCCTCCAGCCTGCTCCTAATACCTTGGAAGCTCCTCAGTGTCTCCTCCAGGAGAATATTTTCCTCCCTGAAGTGATGAATTTTCTTTTCCAGCTCTGGAAGAGGCGACGGGGGCAGGTGGAGGTTTTCCTTTCCGAGGCTGGAGAAGGAAGGAAGGAAGAGGTTGAGGATCCACCCCGGAGGAAGCCCAAGGAATTCTCTGTGCCCAGACACAGAGGAGCCTTTAGGGATGGGGTCAGACCCCTTCCGCAGCGGTTTGGCCACAAAACCAAATATTTTGGTCTCTAAATGGGTCCAGATGGGTTCAGGATCCAACTCCCAGTCCCAGCCCGGGGCAGGAGGAGGAGCTCAGGCAGCCCCGTCCGTACCTGGTCAAGGTTCCGCTGATGTCCTGGAAGGGAGAGAAAGGGCTCCGTGAATCACTCAGAATCAGAGGAACACTTATACCGGAAGAGATTTTTTATGCCGATCGAGTCCAACCAGCGGGAAATCCGCTGAGGCACCGGATTGGGGTCTGGAGCGGGGTGCGGCCCCACCGCAGAATAGTTTGGGCTGAAGGGACCCCCAGAGACCACCTCGTCCCACCCGCTGCCGTGATCCCACTGGACTGGGCTGCTCCAATCCCCGCCGGAGCCGGTGGCTCCGTCTCTTGTGCCTCGTCACCTGCAGGAAGGTCCTGGCTGGCTGTTGGCACTTCTCCTCCAGTTCCTGGACGCGGGTGTCCAGCCGGGAGATCTCCTTCGTCAGGCTCGTCACGTTTTCCTCCTGCACCTTCCCGATGTCGCTCTCCAGGTCCCCCAGCCGAGCCAGGAGGTGACGGGAAAGCTCCTCCAGGGAGAGGCGCAGCCCCTGGAACTGGGAGAGAATCCGCTGCCGCTCGGCTTCGGTCTTCTCCTGCGGGATGGGACACACGGGGAGCGGAGCTGGGTGGGAAGGGTGAGTCAAAGCCCCACCCTGGAGAGGGGCCCCAGCCCCAGGGACGACCTCGCTCCTCTAAATCCATCGGGAGACACCCACTCCCCCACCCCTCTGCTCCAAAGCATTTACCAAATACTCCCAGTTTCTCTTCATTTCAGCCTCGCGGAACTCCAGGAGTTTCTCTCTGTCGTCCTTCAGGGTTTGCAGCCGAGCCTGGATTTGTTCCTGAGGGAACGAAAAAGAAAGACTCCGTTTCTCTGAAGATCGGGACGGCTTCAAAAACAGCCTCTGGGCAGGGGGTTGGAGTGCGGGCAACTCCGTCCCTCCTCCCGCTCCAGGAAAACATTCCCGCTCTTATTGTCTACGTTCCTGCTGATCTAGGGATCGGCAGGTATCCGCTGGAGCTGGACGGAGGCTGGAATTCCGCAGCAGGGAGGAGGATGAAGACCCGGATCCGTCCAGGCTCGGAGGAGAACAGAGAGAGCAGAAGCACCGAAGCGCGTCCTGTTCCCCCGAAACGAGCCGGGCGCAAGGGGGTGCAAATCCGGGGGGACATTTCTACCCTGGAGGAGCTGGCCCAGCTCCTGGATGGAAAACCTTCCTTTTACCTTGTATTCCCGGACAGCCTCCGGCACCGGGAGCACGGTGTGGGCGCGGTGCGCGCGGGACTCGCGGCAGATCGCGCACAGCAGAGCTCCGTCCTCCTTGCAGAAAACCTCCAGGGGCTCCCGGTGCCTCCGGCATCCTTCCTCTTCCTCGTCCCCGCTTCCCAGGGCTTCCCCGCGGCTCAGGCGCCGGGCGATCTCCAGCACCCGCGCCAGCTCGCGGCTCGGGCGGAGGCTCCGCTGCGGGGCCGTGTCCCGGCACCGCGGGCACGCGAACCCCGCCGTGGGCCACTCCCAGCAGCGCTCGATGCACGAGCGGCAGAAGTGGTGGCCGCAGTGGATGGACACGGGGTCCCGGAAATATTCCAGGCAGATGGGGCAGGAGGCCTCGGCCGGGAGCGCGTCCATGGGGCTCCGGGGGATGCGGGAGCCGCCGCTTTCATTTTCTCCTCGCACGGGGGAAGGCGTTGCCTTCCCGCCCCCCGTGGGCGGGGGAACGCGGAGCCCGGCGGGGCTGGGGATGGAGCGGTGGGCGATGGCCAAAATCCTCCCGGCTGGGCCCTCCCGGTGGTCCCAAACCCCCGCTCCGAGTGGAATTCCTGGGATGCACGGCCCGGTGGGAAGGGGGGGGCCGCGAGGGTGAGACCCCATGGAAGTGGGGTGGAAATAGGAAGCCGCTCCCCCCTCCCGTATTGCAAATCAGGACCAGTTCCCAAATCCGGGCTGATCGCCAAGGGATTTCCCCGGGCTCTGATGGATGCGGCCCCCCGGGGGTCCCAGCTCCGCGCAGAAAGGGCTGGAACCTCCCGCCCTTGTCCTTGACTCCCTCTGGGAACGTCTCGGCTGCACCCGGGAGGGGATTTGTCCCTTTTTAACATTTGAACCCTCTTTCTGAACGGGCCCGTTCGCAGCTTTGTCCATCCCGACCCGCCCTTTCTCCTTGGCACGGCAGAAGGCTGTAAAAGAAAAAAAGCTAAAAAATTAAATTCTTTCCCCAACGGACCTATTTGCCGGCCCTGATAATTCCTTTATCTGGCTGATGCTTTGAAAGCAAGACCAGCGAAAAAATCTAGCCCTTTTCCTGGTCTATGTTTAGATTTTTAAATGTTACTTATTAAGATTATTTTCATGTAGATTTTTTATTAATTTAGGTTTTTAAAAATATGATTTTTAAAAGAACTTTGATTTCTTAATTTTTGATTTTTTCTTAATTCGGATTTTTTAATTTGGATTTTTAAAAAAATTAAATTTAGATTTTATGAAATTTTTATTGAGGAACTTTTTCCCTGAAACGGTGAGAAAAGGATGCAGGTTGCTCTCAGCCCTGGATCTACCTGCACCTTGAAGCAATTGAGCAAAATCCTGCAGAAAACCTTGGATTACTGATTTTCTTTTCCTCTGACACTGAGCAAATATCTTTGTCTGTTAAACCCGAGCCTCCAGCTCCCTCTTGAGCTCAGGTCACGGTGATTAGACCCGGTTAATCAAGGAGGGAAATCTCTTCGAAAGAGGGGTCTTGATCCATCCCAACTCTCCGTACATCTCATCCCCGATAAATCAAATTTAGCCCCAGATTAACAAAAAAAAAAAAAAAAAAAAAAAAAAAAAAAAAAAAAAAAAAAGAAGCACGAAGCCTCCCCCAGGTTTCAGTCTGAATCTTCCGAGCACCGGAAAACCCAGAACCCCAAAAAACTCCCGCACAGAGTTAACGGCGGACGAGGTTTTGACCGATTTCCTCAAAAAGAAAAAGGCATCGCTTCAGTACCGAGCGAGGTACCAGCGAGTTCCGGCGGCTTCTGCACATGAAGGGCTCCTGAGTTTGCGCTGGTGGTCCGGGGGGCTCTTGGAAGAAAAGGAAAGTTAAAAATAGGACGGTCTGTGGTCAGCGGCTCAGCCCCGAGCCGTGAGAGAAACGATTTCCTGTGCAAAAGGAGAAATGAAAGGAACAATAAAAGTATTTTTGAATAAAGGTGTTTATAGCTGCACGTACAGCAGAGCAGGGTGGGGGTGTTGGAGTCGGGCGTTTGGGAATGCGGAATAATCAGGAGGCGGAATGAGCAGCAAAGGATGAGCCAAGAATTACTCCAAGCTCTGTTCCCCCGGCCGTGCCCTTCAATTACTAGGAGTGAACCAACAAATTAAATACGCATATAAATTAAATTTATCAATTAATAAATTTAAAAGTAATAAACTGAAAGCAGTGAAACAAGTCCGGTTCCTGGTTCAGAGCCCAAGGGCAGCCTTAGGGCAACCTCTCACTTTCCCTGGGTGTTTTTTGGGGGAGAAAGGAGTGGAGTGGTGCATCCCAACCAAGCCGGTAAGTGATGAAGGAAGTTTAATTTCCATTTAATCTCCTTCCAAGGCGCTGCGAGCCCGGTGGGAAGGGGGATTCTCTGTCCCGCTCCGGCTCGGCTGCGGCTGCGATCCGGTGCCGAAAGCCGGTGCCAGACAAGTCGTCGCCACACCCCAAAGCCGGCTGGTCCCAGCAGCGCAGCTTTCAGCTCTCCGGGGCACCGAGGCACCTGCAGGAAGCGGAGCAGCCCCGGGGAAGCGGCCGCGCCCCGCGCCCGGCCCCGCGGCCATGGCCCAGCCCGGCCCCGCCGGGCAGCTCCGGGCCGAGGCCTCCTGCTCGCTGTGCCTCGGCCTCTTCCAGGAGCCCGTGTCCATCCACTGCGGCCACAACTTCTGCCGCTCGTGCATCGAGCGCTGCTGGCAGAGCTGCCGGGACTCCTTCGCCTGCCCGCGCTGCCGGGAGACGGCCCCGGAGCGCAGCCTGAGACCCAACCGAGAGCTGGCCAAGATCATCCGCATCGCTCAGCGCCTCAGCCTGAGGGGGCTGCCCGGGGCAGGGGAGCGGCTCTGCCACAGGCACGGCGAGGCTCTGAAGCTCTTCTGCGAGGAGGAGCAGAGCCCCCTGTGCCGCGTGTGCCGCGAGTCCCAGGATCACCGGCTCCACGCTGCCGTCCCCATCGAGGAAGCGGCGCAGGAGCACAAGGTGGGAGGTGTCCGGGTGTCCCTGGGGATGAGGGAGGAGGAGAAGGAGGAGGAGGAAGGAGGAGGAGGAGGGAGGAGGAGGAGGGGGAGGCCAGGTGAGCCTTGTTTTCCTTGCCAACATCTGGATTTCTGCACCTTCCGCCCGCCCCGCGCTCCCGACATCGCCGGATGGAGGGAAAGGCACAGACTTGGTGTTTCTCCTCCGCTCAGGAGAAACTCCAGGCTCACGCGCAGATCCTCAAGGACAGGAGAGAAAAGATGCTGGGGCTGAAAGCGGCAGAGGAAGAAAAAAGCTTGGACTTGCTCGTGAGTGACCCTTCCCTTGTCCCTCCGTCCGTGACGATGAATGTGGAGCCGCTCCTGGGCTCCCTGTGCCTGTCACCGCTCTCATGGGGAAGAATTTCTCCCCGGTGTCCAACCTAAACCTGGATTTTACGAGGTTGTTGTGGATCTCTACCTCCCTCCATGTGCTTACAACGGGGCACATTCCCCCTATTAATAGACAGAAAACAGGAATCACCAGATTGCATCTTTTTAGCATTGTTTTCCTTTTTCCTGATCTCTATCACTGACTAATCTGTTTATGGGTTTATTTTGCGTCTTTCCTTGTCCAAAGGTCTGGAGCCTTTTGGGTACAAAGTTTATGGACCATGGGAAAATGCTTTGCCAGCAATCCCTACCTAGAAATGGCCAAAAAACGAGAAAAATTCTCTTGATTCTCCCCAGGTTTTGCAAGAACCCTGGAATTCCTGGCGGTGACAAATCCCCACTTAATTCCCTCTGCTGGCATTTCCCTCCCCCAGCCCTGTCCCAGCCCCTCATGCCCGGTGCCCTTGCAGGAGCGGGTGGATGCGGAGCGGCAGAGGGTCCGGGCCCAGGTCAAGGAGTTGCACCAGCTCCTGGAGGAGCAGGAGCGGCTCCTCCTGGGCCGGCTGGCAAAGCTGGACCGGGAGATCGTGCGGAGGCAGGAGGAGAACATCAGCAGACTCTCAGAGCAGATCTCCTCCGTGGGCCAGCAGATCCAGGAGCTGGAGGACAAGTGCCAGCAGCCGCCCTGGGAACTCCTTCAGGTGAGACCTCAGAGCCCTTGGAAAACCCTTGGCCACCTGTGGTGCCACCAGGCCAAATTAATCCTTACCAGAATCCCAGGACCGTGGTTTGGGTAGGAAGAGGCCTCACAGAGCACCTAGACCACAAAAGGGACACCTTCCACTGGGCCACGTGTCTCCAATCCCCATCCAACCTGGAGATATAAAAACTCCTTTTAAAATCCATTATTTCCCCCCTATATTATTTCCTTCAATGCTCATGAAGTCATCCCGGCTGTCCACTGGAATGTCATGGATCCCCGCCAGGGCCCAGCTCGCCCGTCACCGGGGTTCACCTGTCCAGCTGAACACCCCCAGCCATGGTCTGGTTCCCTTGTCCACAGTGGGAAACCACTGGTGCTCCCCTGGTCTGCAGGTTGCCACTGAAGTCACCATTAGACCCCACCTCTGGGCTGGGCTTCACCCCCACTTCGATAATTAAATAACCAAATATAAAAAAAATCAAATATTCAAATAGCTAAATATTCAAATATCCAAACATTTAAACACCCAAACAAACAGTCACATATTCAAATAAGCAGAGACGTTCATTAGCAGCAGTCACGCCCATCCTGGGAGGGGGATAATGCTGATAAATCATTAATTAAATGCTCATTAAGGTTGCCATGGCCTCACCTGAATTCCCACAGATCCAGAATCCCTCGTTCAGGCCGAGCAGTGCCCCAGGGTCACCCCACAGCCCTCCCTGGTTATTCACCCCAGGCTGGCTCCACTCTGAGCCCACCATCCCTCTGATCTGTCTCTCTGTCTCTCCCCTGCAGGACAGCAGAGACATCCTGAGCAGGTTTGTGGCTCCTCTCCTGCATTCCTGCCACCTTCTTATTGTTTGTCCCCGTGGCTGGCGGACTCCGAAACCCCAGCAATCCGTGACCTGTGTGACAGGGAGGTGCAGGACACAGCTAGGACACCACAAAAGTCCAGTTAGGATGCTGGAGGCCAGGGTCAGGTACTGGGGGGTGAAGCTGCTCTCAGATCCATGAAAACCTCCCTCTTCCTGGAGGGATGAGCTTTTCCTTCTCAGCCTGTCAAAAATAGGGAGCCAACAAGTGTTAAATTCTGAGGGAATCCTCCACCCTTTAACAGACCTGTTTGTGTCCCCTTCGGATTGGGAGGTGAGAAGGAGGAAAGGGGACAAGGAAAGCAATTTCTATTCCCTGATTTCCACTGGCAGAAAATCTTCACCATCCAGAGTCTCCTCAGCCACGGTTGGCTCAGCAAATATTCTCCAGGAGCTCCTTGATGAGGAGCAGATCCCAAAAACCTCCTGTAGATGCCAAAACCTAAGAGGAATGGAATTATAAAATCATGGGAACTTGGGATGGTTTGGGTTGGAAGGGGCCTTTCAGGTCCCATCATTCCATATTCCCGTGGAGAAAATCTCCCTCTTTCCAGGCTGGAGAAGCAGAGTGCCCTGGAGCCAGTGGAGACTTCACCAGAGCTGGCAGAGGAACCCACAGGGTTGCCCCAGAAAAATGTCACCCTCAAAGAGATGCTGAAGAAGTTCCAAGGTATGGAGGGACCAGGGAAGAGGGCTGGAGGCACCTTGGGAAATCACCCCTCAAAGGTGAAAATCTCAGATATTTTCACATGGCAGCTTAAAGGAAAGCCATGGGACACCCCCCAGTGACCAGCAAAACCCCCACACTCCAGAGGCTCATTTCTGCTCCAAGCCAAATTCCCTTTGTTGCCTTTTCCACTCTTCCAAACCCACACACGGGCATCAAACCATCCCTGGGGCATCCCAGACTGGGGAAGAGGGGACAAACCCAACCCCAACAGCTCTCCAGGGGCAAGATCCACTCGTGACAGCCACCCCATCCCTCCGCAGTCAGCCTGACGCTGGATCCGGACACAGCCCATCCCCGGCTTGCCCTGTCCGAGGATGGGAAGTGCGTCTGGTGGGAAGACACCCGGAGGGCCGTCCCCGACCACCCCAAACGCTTCGACTCCTCTCGCTGCGTCCTGGGCCGGGAGGGACTCGGCTCTGGCCGGCACTACTGGGAGGTGCAGGTGGGCAACGGGGCCGCCTGGGCCGTCGGTGTGGCCAAGGAATCCGTGCGCAGGAAGGGCCGGATCAGCGTCAAGCCCGAGGTGGGGATCTGGGCTGTGGGGCAGTGTGGGAGCCAGTGCCAGGCTCTCACATCCCCCACCGTCCCCATCTCCCTGCCTGAAGCCCCTGATGTGGTCGGGGTCTACCTGGACTACGAGGCCGGGCGAGTGGCATTCTTTGATTCCCAGAGGGAGATCCTGATGTTCACATATCCTCCGATGTCCTTTGGTGGGGAGCAGGTCCTGCCCCTGCTCTGCCTGGGCAGGGGGTGCCAGTTCACGCTGTCCCCGTGATCGCCCCTGTGGTGGGTCCCTCACCTGGGGGGGTTTCGGGGCAGAAACTTCCGCTTTCTCCATCATTTCTGACAATGAGAAGTCACAGCTGTTTCAGAGAAATGTTGATTTGAGGGCTGGGAGAGACTTTCTGTGCCAGGGCTGTGATGAGGGGGAGGATGAGAGGGGAAAAGGATGGAAAATAAAGGGAAATTGGACAAGGAATGGGGAGAATTGGTGTGATCAGAACAATCTGCTGGCACCTGAGCCATTTCCTGGGACCTGGACATCCGGAAGCCTGGATATCTTGGGTCCATCAGCATCATCTCCTGGATCCACCAGAGGATTCCTGGGGTCTGTCAGGGTCAGATCCTGGGGCCCATGGGGGTCAGATCTTGGGGTCCCATCGGGGTCAGATCCTGAGGTCCATTGGGATCATGTCCTGGAGTCTAGGGGGGTCATGTGCTGGGATATATCAGGATCACATCGTGGGACGCATCGGGATCAAGTCCTGGAAGCGCTTGGGCCACACCCCAAAATCCAGGATCAGAGCCTGGGTGCCATCGAGCTCATCCCTTCCCAATGCAGCCGCCCAGCGCGCCCTACCCGTGGCTCCCTGGTGGTCTAGTGGTTAGGATTCGGCGCTCTCACCGCCGCGGCCCGGGTTCGATTCCCGGTCAGGGAATAATCTTTTCTCACTAAAGCAATTTTGTTTTTTTTTAAATTCTTCATGTTTAAACATCTCCTAGCCCCTCAAACACCCCTTTTCTCCTCTTTTTGTGCCTCTCCCTCCCCGTGGAAGGGCCATCCCCTTCCACCCGCCCCAGCGCCTTCTGTTATTGAGCAACAGATAAATAAAAAAATAAGCAATAATGCTAATTGCATTTTTTTTTCCATTACGTTGATACGAAAGGCTTTTAGCAGCTGTGCTAACATAACTGCAGTTGAACACTGAAATTTAATAGTGGTGATTATTGAGGGGTTAACTGTTTATTACCCATTTTTTACAGTGAGTAATCATCTCAAAAGGGTACAAGATTTTTAAAAATAATAATATGGAAAAAGGGAAAATTTTGAAAAGGTAACAATAATTTGAAAAACGGAATAATAATTTGAAAAATGGGGAGGATGAATGCTTTTAAAAAGAGAAATAATAACTAGATATGGAATAGTAATTTTAGAAAGGGAAAATTAATTTTTAGAGATTAATGCTTTGAAAAGGGGAAAAGTTATTTTAAAAGGAAGTAACAATTTAAAAACAGAAATAATGATTTATGAAGGAATAATAATTTGAAAAAAGGAAAGCACAGCAGGAAAAGGGGAATTTTTAGGAATTTCTCCGAAAACAAGTTCTGTCAGGAGTGGGATTTGAACCCACGCCTCCATGAGGAGACCAGAATTCCCGAGGGAAGGTGAATCCTTGAGTCTGGCGCCTTAGACCACTCGGCCATCCTGACGACGGAAGTTTGCGGCAAGAGAGAGCAAATTGAGAATTTAAAAATCGGGGTTTGTCGGGCTTTTCTTTCTTTTTTCTTTTTTTTTGATAGGGGGATTTTCTGGGTTTACTTTTTTTCTTGTCTGTTGCTTTGTGGGGGTTTTTAGAATACTAATAAAGGGTAATTATTAAAAAGGTAGAATAATAATGATTGTTAAAAATAAAAAAAGAAAAAATAAAAGGAATAGAAGCTGAGGGGAAAAGGATTTAAAAATAAAATAATGATTTCTGAAAGGAACAATCACTCTCATAGAATAAAAATAAGAAAACGCGGTATAATAATAATTTTAAAAGGAACGATGATTATGACAATACTATTATTATAATTATTTTTTTTTAAGGAACAATAACTTACAAAGTAAAAAGGGTTTAGAAAAGGAATCATGATTTCAAAAAGGAGGAATGGCTTTAAGAAGAATGCAATAATAAAACCTGGAATAGTAGTTTGAAAAGGAATAATAAAAAATAGGGAATGATTTAAATAGTGAAAAGGAAAACAACGCTCGCCCAACGTGGGGCTCGAACCCACGACCCTGAGATTAAGAGTCTCATGCTCTACCGACTGAGCTAGCCGGGCTCCTGGGGAGCGCTGTTTAATGACCCGGGATTTCATGTACAAATGATCGCACTTCCACCCTTTTTCTTCCCGGGAATCCCTTCAGCGAGCAGATCTTTTTGGGGTGGAAAAGGCTGGGGGAAAACCTCTCCTGCCAGGTAGTTTTGGACTTTCTGCCAATTCGGCCTCCGCTATCAAAAGCCCTCCTTAAACACGTCCTCACTCGGATCGGTCCCCGCGGGATTATCACCCGGGGGGTGGAACTGCGTGAAATTTGGCGGAATTCTGTGGGAAATGCGCTTTTTTTTGTTGTTGTCGATCGGTTTTGAGGCTGGAAGGGGCGGAGCCTGGAACACGGAGCGTTTCTGTAGTGTAGTGGTTATCACGTTCGCCTCACACGCGAAAGGTCCCCGGTTCGAAACCGGGCAGAAACAGCACCCTCGAATGCTATTTTTAATTAATTATTTTCGTCTCTCAACATTCCTCCAAATTCCTTCATGGCGATGCTGGCAAATTAAAAAAAAATATTAAAAAGTGTATTTATAGCAGCGAACTATTTAATTTTTACTCCTTCCCCTGGCGCTGGTAAAAATGCGTGTTTATAACCCAGAAGAGGTTTATTCCAGTTTATCCACGGACAAATTTAGTTGCCCTGCGGACAAACCTTTTTGAGCAGAAGCCCCTATGAGCTTCAGTATCTCCCCCCAAAAAACAAACCTCTTCAAAAATATCACTCCGAGGGAAGTGTGGGAATACGATTGTCGCAGGAGTGGCTCAAATTCGTTAATATTTAATGGATTATTTGGAGTCGCCGCTTCCTATCTTGAGCTACAAATCCACCGGAAATGGACTGGGACTGGAGAGATTACTTTGACTTTAGGAAAATACTAACAGCTTCTTCCCTGACCGGGAATCGAACCCGGGCCGCGGCGGTGAGAGCGCCGAATCCTAACCACTAGACCACCAGGGAGCTACTTTTCCCCCAAATTTCACCGTTCCCAGCGACTTTTTACATCCAACGAGCCAAAGCTGCCTCTTCCCATCGGGCCCAGGACACCGCTTCGCTCCGGGCTCGGAAAAATAGGAAAATATCATGAAGAATTCAAAAATTAATTTAAAAATCCCCCAAATAATAATTCAAGATAATAAACGATTCAGTCAAAACCAGGGAAGCATTAAAAATTATAAGATAAAATAAAATAAATAAAAATAGAAAAAATTAATTTAAATAATAGGAATTGTCTTTCCCAGTGGTCTCGTGGTGAAGATCCGTCGTTTTCACGGCCGTGGCCCGGATTCATTTCCCTATTAGGAAACACATTCTGAAAACGACTGAATTCTTCAAAAATCATAATTTTTAACCTCGGGGTGGCCTCTGTCCTCGACCCCAATGTCGCCTGTCCGTGATTTCACGCGAAAGCTTCCTGGTTCGGAATCAGGCAAAACTCACCGATTTCGGGGCAATTTTTGTGGGGGTTGAAGCATTTCCCTGATGTTTTCCTTTATTGCCGTCCTTCAGCGCAACCTCTCAAACGCGGCTGGAATTAAAAGGGATAAGGGAAGGAATGAAAAGCGATAAGGGAATGAATGAAACGTGATAAGGGTAAAAGCGATAACGGAATCCAAAACGACGAGGGAAGCTTTTCTCGCAAGGTTTAGCGAGATTCGGGAGGATGCACAGAGGAAATTTGGCTTCTCTATATTCCAGAAAAGGTGCAAAGAGCTCCTGCCGTGCGGTTTCTGTAGTGTAGTGGTTATCACGTTCGCCTCACACGCGAAAGGTCCCCGGTTCGAAACCGGGCAGAAACAGCGGTACTCTTTTTTCGGGTTCTTCCTCCGCTATTTTGACAGGCCTGAGAGGATTTGGATCATTTTGTGGGGCACGGTGACAATTCCAAGCGGTTTAGCTTTGGCCAGTTGGGAAGAAGTTTAACCTTGCAGGATGAGCTGACGCTCCTGATTTTTGCGGGGTCTGAAATAGTTTTAATCAGGGAATTCCTCCTCCGATGATCCAAACGGGGGCGTTTTGGGGGGCTCTTGGTCTTGTGCAGCCTAGGGAGGGACTCCCGGGTGGGTGTCGGGAAAAAACCCTTCAAGCGAGGAAGGGAAAAAAGGGAAAATAAACCTTTTTCCCGTTAATTCGCACCAAAGTAATTCCCTGGAAAAAAAGACCCCCGCGTTTCTGTAGTGTAGTGGTTATCACGTTCGCCTAACACGCGAAAGGTCCCTGGTTCGAAACCAGGCAGAAACAGTTGCGCTTTTTGGTGGGGGGGTGTAATTAACTCCGTTTTCCACCCGCTCGCTAGCTGGGGTTTAACTTCAGGGTTATTTTGAGGGGGTTCTGAGCTGCCGGGTTGGGGTGGCAGCTCTGCTCCCGGCTTCTTCTACATCCATAATTTCTTGCGTTTGCTTCCCAGAGGAGAATTTATTAAAAAAATAAAATTATCAAAGACACAGGTAGGGATAATTTGCATTTCAATCCCGCTGCTCTATCAAGCCCCGTCTTTGTCCGTCCCCGGCCAAGATGGAGAGGAAAGGGTGGAAAACGATTTTATAACGTTCAAATCCAGCCATTCCTCGGTGTCGAAACCAAACAACGACTCCCCTCCCTTCCCTCAAAACATTTTGGGTTCGTTCATCCCCAGGACAAGCTCCGGGGAAAAAAAAAAAAAAAGGTATTGTGTAAAGGGGGAGAGGAGGAGGCGTTGCAGTCACGCGTTCCTGCTCCTGGATGGAATTGTTTGTTCTTGACCTGGAATAGCAGCCAAAATTCCGCGTTCAACACCCTCCGGCTCGGCCGTGTTTCGTCAGAGCTCTTGGCTCCATATTTCCCCTTGTTCCATAAATTCGGGTCTTCAGAGAGCCGGGCAGGCCGAATGGCAAGGTTTTTCCTGCGGGAATTCATCCTCCTCATCCTCCTCCGCTTTTATTCCCGTTGCTCTAGCAGATCCAGGCTGATAGCTCCTTATCCATGGTGCGGTGTGCTCGGATTTGAAGGGAAAAATCGGGAAAAATCAATAAAATTATCCAAAATGCTCGTGAAACCCAAGGATTGGACTGATCGCTTCCCAGCAGCGTCACCCGCAGCTCCTCCCGGGTTTGTGGAGCTGCTAGAATGTCCATAATCTGCTTTTTCTCCTCCACAGAAAGGGGGAGCCGCTGGATTCAGGAGTCTTTTCCCTCTGTGTCGAAAACATGGAGATGAGTCCCACCTCTGGAAAACTGGGAAAACTGCCCAATTCTAGTGTAGTTTGGGACAGGGTATCCTGGCTGGGGATAAAAAGTGCTTTTTGGGGGGTAATTTCTGAGCTCCCAGGCGCCTGAGAAGCCGCTGAGGAGGAGCCAGCGTGGGGAATGAGCCAAGGATGGGATGGGATGGGTTAAACCCGGGAGGATTTTACCGTTTGGAGGGTAGGGAAAAAAGGGGAGAAAACAGCCAGAGACCCTTTTCTCCCCAAATTCGACCCAGGATCTTTTGTCTAGGTCATGTTTTTGTAGATTAACCCCCATTCCCACCTCCCTGGTGGTCTAGTGGTTAGGATTCGGCGCTCTCACCGCCGCGGCCCGGGTTCGATTCCCGGTCAGGGAAAAAAGTCCGTTTTGTCAAAAAAATTCGCTTTGTTTTTTTCATATCTGTCCAGAATTTAATATCTCCTGACGCCCAAAATACCCCTCTTCTCCTCTTTCTTGTGCCTCTCCTTTCCCGGGAGGCTTTACCTTCCACCTGTCCCAGCTCCATCTTTATTGAGCAACATATTAAAAAATTGAAAAAGGGAAATAAATTGCAAAAGGCAACAATAATTTGTAAACGTGAACAGTAATGTGGAAAAGCGAACAATAATTTGGAAAAAAAGGGCGAATAAAGGGTGGATAACTTTTGAAAAAGGGAATAATAATTGAAAAGGGAATAATTAATAATAATTTTAGAAAGGGAAAAAGTGCTTTAACAAGGGGCCAACGCTTTGGGTTTTATGATTTAAAAAAAACCAAAAAGAAGCAGCGCAAGAGGCGGCATCCTCTGCCAGATCTCCCAAAAAAAAAAATCCCAATTTCCCAGCCCGGATTGGAGTTCCTTGAGCCGCTGCGGGAGCGGGTTCCAGGAGCCCGGCTAGCCCAGTCGGGGTCCAGGAGCCCGGCTAGCTCAGTCGAGTTCCAGGAGCCCGGCTAGCTCAGTCGAGTTCCAGGAGCCCGGCTAGCTCAGTCGAGTTCCAGGAGCCCGGCTAGCTCAGTCGAGTTCCAGGAGCCCGGCTAGCTCAGTCGAGTTCCAGGAGCCCGGCTAGCTCAGTCGAGTTCCAGGAGCCCGGCTAGCTCAGTCGAGTTCCAGGAGCCCGGCTAGCTCAGTCGAGTTCCAGGAGCCCGGCTAGCTCAGTCGAGTTCCAGGAGCCCGGCTAGCTCAGTCGGTAGAGCATGAGCCTCTTAATCTCAGGGTCGTGGGTTCGAGCCCCACGTTGGGCGGCATAACTTTCCTTTTCCCCAAATATACTTTTAACGTTTTTTTTTTGTTGCAATAAATTCTTTAAACTGTTATTCCTTTCCTTAGCTATTTTAATTTTTTTATTCTTATTTAATTATTTTTTTTACTGTTATTACTATTATTAATTATAGAATTATTCCTTTTTGAAAGATTACTCCAGTTTATACTATTTTTATTCTTTAAAAAAAATCACTCCTTCTTGAAATTATCTTTCCTTTATAAATTCCTGTTACCTTTTAAATTATTTTCCTTTTATTTTTCTCATTGTCATCAATCACCATCATCATCATCATCATCATTCCTTTTAGAATTATTATGCCAGGTTTTCCTATTTTTATTTTGTGAAAATGATCGTTCCTTTCAGAAATGATTATTCCATTTTGAAATTATTTTGTTCTCGACTATTATTCCTTTAAAAATTATAATTTATTTTAACTTTTAATAATAGAATAATAATAATTATTATTCTATCTCTTTATAATTAACCTTTAGTAGTAGTTAACAAGACCCCACAAAGCAACAGACAAAAAACACCAATCTAACTGGGATAAAGCCAAAAACTCGGAAATGAGGGATTGTGCCCTAAAACCGAGGGGGTATGCCATAAGAAATGGGGGTTGTGCCCGAAAAGGGGGGTTTGGAACTTAGAAATGAGGATTTGAGCCCCAAAAAGGAGGCCTTGGACTGACACCAGGAATTTCACGCTCGGGAAGGTCCCGGTACCGCCTGGGCAGCTGCACAAACACAGGGATGGGGTTGGCACCGAAGGCCTTGGGAATAACTCGGAGCAGGGAGGCAGGGGAATTAATCACGTGCTAATTATCCCTGTCATTAATGAGGTCCAAGCCCCGCGGTGAGGGCATCCATCGGCGCTCCGGGCCCGGCTCCATCCCCGTTTCCCGAATCCGCGCGGTTTGGGGGTTCTGGGGGCCGGTTCCCCTTTGGGACGCGGGGCTCCAGGAGCGGCCCCGGGGCGGTGACCGCGTGTCCCGGCTGTTTGTCCAGGTGTTCCCGAGCATTGTTCCCAGGGGACGGCGCCTCCCGAGGGATGCGGGGTCGTTCAGGCCCCGAGGGCAGCGCGGGGATAAAGGCAGCGCGGGGCCGCGGGCTCCGGGAGCCCTGAGGAGAGGACGGCTGGGTAAGGGACCGGCACCGGGGCTTTCCGGGGATTTCTGGGCTTGTTCCTGTGCGCTCGGCATCATCCCAACATCTCTTCGAACTGCCCGGGGAACAGGGATTTTTACGCACATTTTTATGACCAGCCTTATTTTTAATATATAAAAGATGTTATATATATGTATTTTAATATACTTACATATATATAAAATAGATATATAATTTGATATAAAGTAGAAATAATAATACAAAAGGATATGAAAAGAATTATTATATGGTACCTAATTTATGTATAAATAAATATAAAATATATAAATACATCATCTAGTATAATATGTAAATAAATAAAGTATATTTATAGCACATAAATATGTACCATATTACAATGTACAAATATACTATTTCCATGTAGTCTTATATTCTATGCCTTTATATTTCTTACTCTTATTTTTATATTTCATAAAAGAGAGACCGGTTTAATTTTTAGGTAATTGAACATTTTACAAAAGCCCGGTAAAATTTATGTTTTCAGTGAAAAAATAGTGAAAAGAGAATCGTGCCAGGAGCCCGGCTAGCTCAGTCGGTAGAGCATGAGACTCTTAATCTCAGGGTCGTGGGTTCGAGCCCCACGTTGGGCGGCAAGTAACCGTTTTATCCCCTTTGTTCACTGGAATCTGATCTTTTTTCCTTTTATTTACCCAAATATTGGGTTCAGTTGCCGGCGCTGTGTCTCAGCACCTTTGGCAGTGAAGTGCCTTTTTTTCTCATTAAATAATTTTATTTCCACGGGATGCTCCCGTCCTGGAACCACAACCACTAAAGTCTCCAGAATTCCCCATATTTCTGGTTTTCAGGCAAATCGAGCTTTTCTCTGCTCTTTTTGCCCCAAAAGGCACAAAACAAAAGAAGCGGGAGGGTTTTTCCCCGGCTGTTTTTTTTCCCCCACCCTATTCCAGGGCTGAGCACGGAGGGAACTCGTTGCAGAGATGAATTCCTGATTTGTTCTCATTCCAGGGAGCGCCGGGCTGAGCTTGGAAGCGGATGGAAGTCAGGACCTGCTCCACGATGAAGCTGCTCCTGCTGGGGCTGAGCCTCGTCCTGTGCGTCGGAGTCGGTGAGCGGGGAATAAATCGGGTTTAATAATGGTGGACCCTCCCCAGCCGGTCCCCAGTGTCATCCCAGCCTCCGAGGCAGGATTCTCCCCGGCTCTTCTCAAAGTTCATCCCATTTTTTCTCCTCTGCTGCAGCTGAGGCTCTTCGATGCCACGTCTGCAAGTACAAGATCCCCTTGGTCGGGTGCCTCAGGGGCGCCAACGTGACCACCTGCGAGCGCCGCGAGAAGTGTGCCCTCATCAAAACCACCCTGGGTGCGTTAGCTGCGGGTTTTCTTGGCTTTCCCCATCCTCTTCTTCAGGAAGGTTCTTCCCGTCCCTGGGAGTCCAAATTGCTCCTGTGGATGAGTGAGGATGGGGAGACAAAGCCGCAGGGAAAGGGCGGATGGGAGAGATCGAGTTCATCCTCTCCACAGATTGCTGTCCCAAAAAAGTTTTAAGTCGCTTTTAAGCCAAGGGGAGACTCTCCCTTCCAAAGAAGCCGGGGGGCAGGGGCTGTCTCTGTGGGCCCATCTCCTGATTTTCTTTTTCTCTTAATCAAATCAAGCTGTGACTTGATTTGGGGGGTACATTTCAGAGCTTGGTTTCTCCTCAAAGCCCAAAGTCTGATTTTTACGGTGTTTGTGGTGTTCTCGTCTCCCCTGCAGGGAAGGTGACCATTTATTACCAGCAAGGCTGCACCTCCGCCCTGAACTGCGGCCGGGAGCGGGCGTCCGACGCCGAGTCCCGCCTGACCTCCCGCTATTCCTGCTGCGAGACGGACCTCTGCAACGAGGAGTGGGGCGAGGAGCCCACGGACTGACCCGCGCTGGGGGCAGGACCGGGATCCTGGCGCGATCCGACGCTCCTCGAAGGAATCCCGAATGCTCATCGCTCGCAAGTGGGGACGGCGGGCCCCGCCCGGCTCCCGCTGTGCACCTTGATTTAGTCTCAGGTCTAGAATAAACCTTCAGGCTCGGCACAGGCGGCTGGATCTGGCTCGTGTCCTTGTTTCCCTGCCTCAGGCAGCCGCTTCGCTTGCCAGCTGTCCAGACTCAGCATTCCTGGTGGTCTGGGAGCAGCTGGTGGCCCCGAACACGATCCTGACACCCAAACCCCAAGGACGAGCCAAGGAGCCTCCTCCTGGTCGCATCCCGGGTTTCGGTTTTTTCCCTCCAGTGCGGGGCTGGGAAGTTCCTGGTTGGGAATTTTGGGAGAGGAGTATCAGGGAGCTGCTGGAAGCCAGGGGAAATAAAGTATGTGTGTATCCAGTAGACATTCATTGATCTATATACTTATAGGCTATAGATATTTATCTGTCAAGGACTCACTTGCCTTTTCCTTTTATTTTCCCCCTCCTCCTGTCGGCTTGGGAGTCCCAAGCACTCCTTACCTGACCAACACACCTGTGGCAGGTGGCAGATGCCCCACAGGAGACGTTCCTGCTCTTTTCCCACAAAGATGAGCAGCGAGATTAATAATTTTTTGACTGTTTGGGAAGAGGGATGAAAAGCTTTGCTTCTTCCCCAGCCCCGCTGAGCCTCTGAAAGGAAGGATGAGCTTCCTGGAGAGGGTTAAAGGGCTGCCGAGATCCCGGCGAGAAGGTCCGGACTTGGGGACAGGTGGAGGGAGGTGCTGGAAATGCGATTCTGGCGGTGGGCAGGGAAAAGAGCTTTGGCACAGAGGAGAGGAGCAGAGCCGGAGCGCCAGGGAAGGAGGAGGAGGATGAGGAGGAGGAGGAGGGAAAGACCTCGGTGGGTGCCCAGGATAGAAGCAATGGGGGAGGGGAAAGAATGGTAAGTGAGACGGGAGCGGGGGTGGTGGTGACAGAGGGGACAAATGGGGCACCCGCGGGCCGGCAAGGAACCGGAGCTCGAGCGGTGCCGCGATGTCCGAGGCAGCCGCGGCCGCGGCCGGTTTCCTTCGCCGGAGCTCGGCGGAGCGGCTGCCACGGACCCCGTCCCGCTGGGACCCCGCGGCGACCCGGCTGGCTGCCCAGCTGGCCCCCTCTAGACCCGTCCCGACGCAAAATCCCGGGCGATTCGGGCGGTTTGGGAGGACGCCCCTTTCCGACGCCTCCGCTCCAAGGTACGCGGGGGCAGCCGGGGACACGGGGAGGGCTTGGGATGCGCCTGTCCCTCTGTCCCTTGCTTCCCTGCACCCAGCTCGTTCTCCTTGTTCTTCCCACCAGGGCTGCAGCTTCTGTCGGGGGGGGTCTTGCTCCTTTCCTTGGCTGGCTGTACATCCCTGGGTTGGGGTGTGGATTTACCTCCAGCTCACAGGTGCCATCTCATCCCCTCACTGCAGAAACGTGAGGGAAAATGTGTGGAATAGGAAAAATACACACGATTTCTTCGTGTTTATTTACAGATCAAAAGAAGCGGAAGGTAGGAGAGAAGGAATTCTCCTTCCATATGGAGCGATATAAATATATATAAACATGTAAAAATATATAACTATATAAGAAGGGGCAGGTAAACATGCACAGTTGTAATGCTCTGCAGGACAATTTCAGGACTGGTTTTGCTCATTAATTCCTCAAGTTCCCAGCAGAACCTCTGGGGCTGGGATTTGTCCCTCCCCGTCACAGCTCCAGATGTGTCCAAGATCCCTATTCAGAGGCGTTGGATCAGCAGGGGCTGGCTTTCAAGTCAGAATTTATGGATCACTCAATCTGATTTCAGGTCCTCATTAGGAGAAGACAAATCGCTCTTTAGAGGATCCCACGTTTCCCAGTCCATGGTAACATGAACCCCTCAGTAGCCGGGTGACTGTCACTCCCTCCTGTCCCAGCTTGCCATGACAAGAGCTCGGTGAAGTCTCAGGTGGAAACCACCACGCTATGGACAACCCCAGTCCCGGAAAAATTATATGTATTTTAATTATCATTTCCATTTAATGCACGACCTCCAAACCCCCACAAAATATTTCTTGAAGACCAAGGCTACTTTCTTTTGAGGTGCAGGACTCCAATCCCGAGCTTGATCTTTATGGATTCAGGAAACTCACCCAGAGATCTTGACGAGGGCTTTGCATCCTCGTATATTCCCTTTCTCCTGTTGCTTTTTATGGCCCCTGATGAGCTCTGGAGCACAACCAGGTCATCTGAGTCCCTAACCGAAGTTTCAGGGGCAGCACAGGACTTTAACGAAGGCTCAGATGTTTCCCTGGATCTGAGCCTGGAGCAGCTGCTCCACACAAGCCCCAGGGCTCAGATTCAGCAGCAGCTCAGCCATAAATCAGCTCCATCCAGAGCTGGTGACATCCCCAAACGGGAGGGTATCCCAAAAGATTTCCCTCTTCCTACCTCCCTGCTGAAAGGAGGAAAAAAAAAAAAGTCAGGAAGCCCAGGATTTGTGGGGAGCAGAGGGCAGCGTTCCTGCTTTCTTGCGTGTCCCCCAGAGCCGAGGTCCCGGTCCCTGGTCTGGAGAAACCGGACACTGCGGGAGTGACCGCGGGCAGCGGTCGCGTTCCTGGAAGAGCACCGCCCCCGCGGGGCCGGGCGCCAGGCATTCCTGTTCCAGCCCAGCTAAAACCATTCCTCACCCGCAGGAGAGAGGCCATGGCAGCCGTGTTCCTGCCCGGGAACCTCCAGGACGAAGCCACTTGCTCCGTGTGCCTGGAGTTCTTCAAGGACCCCGTGTCCATCGAGTGCGGGCACAACTTCTGCCGGGCGTGCATCGTCAAGAGCTGGAAGGACCTGGAGATGGATTTCCCGTGCCCGCAGTGCCGTGAGGTTTTCCAGCAGCAAAGCTTCCGCCCCAACCGGCAGCTGGCGAACATGTCCGAGATCATCAGCCAGTTCACGCTGCGCGGGGCCAAGGGCGCGCAGGAGGACGGGCTCTGCCCCAAGCATCGGGAGGCGCTGAAGCTCTACTGCAAGGACGACCGCAGGACCATCTGCGTGGTGTGCGACAGGTCCCGAGAACACCGGCCCCACGCCGTGGTGCCCGTGGACGAGGCTTCCGAGGAGTACAAGGTCTGTCCCTCCGTCCGTCCGTCCGTGCGTCCCGCCAGAGACTCCCCGGGGAGCTGCGTTTGTCCCCGCGGTGTCACCCGGCTTTGCCTCGCTCAAACGCCCTCCCGAAGAGCTGGCGGTGCTTCCCAGCCTCCCAAAAAGCTGGGAGAAGGTGCCCTCTCTGGATGTGCGCACCCCTCTCCTGCGTTCCCCCGCTTTCTGGGACGGATTCACCTCGCCGGGAGGGGAACTGCTGACGGAGCCAAACACCCGCGGCCATCTGGGGGCTGGGAGAGCTTCCAGAGATGAGCGAAGTTGATTAAAGGCGGGCTGACCTTTGCCTGTGCCAGGAGCCGAGGAGAACAGGGCACGTCCCGTCCCCGGCCTCCTCCGTTCCGTTCTTTGGGGAGGGGTTCTGGTGGTCCTTGAGGCGCCGGCGGGGCGGAGCTGAGGGATTTCCCGGCGAGCACATCCCGTGTTCCCCTCCCTCCCTCCCCATCCCACCTGACAAAGAGCAAATCCCGCAGGCAGAGGGACTCAGCGAAAGAGAGAAAGCAACATCCTCTTCTTTTGTTTCCAGGAGAAAATCCAGGAGCGCTTGGATTTCCTGAGGAAGGAGCGGCAGGAGCTGCTGGAGTTCAAAGTGAACGACGATAAGAAAACCCAGGAGCTGCTGGTGCGTCCCAGGATGGGGTGGTGAGGAAGGCTGGAGAGGGGTGAGGAACCACCGCCCGCCCCAATGCCCGAAAAAGGGGAAGGCATGGTTTTCTCCTTCCTCCTGGCCCCACCACTATCAGCCAGAGCCTCAGCAGACCTCGGGGATGGTGCTGGAGCAGGGCTGGCTCCGGGGCTCTCCTCCACCCTTCCCTTACCTCAGCACATCATCCCTGTGGCAGTAGAAAGGAAAAAAACTCAGCCCGCTGAAAATAATTTCTCTCCCAGACCATCCCCCCAAGACGAGTGGCTTTGAGGGGCTTTTTTGCAGGACAAAACCCACTGAGCCACCCTTGCCTACCTTGCTGCTGTACCACCCCTGGGTGTTTTTAACACCACTGCAATTCCCTGTTATTTTGGCGGCTGGTGTGGTTGGACACAGCCCAGCCTGCCCCAAGCCCCAGGGTCAGGTGTGATGCCAAAGACATGAAGGGCCCTTCTTTGGGGGACCTGCTGGACCTGTGCTGGAGGACAATTTGGAGTGAAGCAACTGAAATGCCTCATGGTGCCAAAGGCAGCATTTCCTGGAGCAAAATGTTCCCGTTTGCCCCTGGGTTCTGTCCCGGATGGGAATCGGGGTGTTTGCGATGGCAAACCCAGCAGGAACTGGGATGGTGGCAGAGCTGAAGGAACAAGAGATCCTAATGGGCAGGGACTTGACTCTCCCACCCCCAGCGCTTCCCAAGGCTTCTGTCCGGGAATGCTACCCAGATTCCTCACCCCTCCCCAAAGGGAAGGCCCCCAGTCTCTCTCCTGAAAAGCTGTTTTTGCTGTGTTTTGTTCCCAGAAAACCATTGAGAGCGACCGGCAGAAGCTGCTCTCAGACTTCGAGCGGCTGCGGCAGTTCCTGCATGACCAGGAGCACATCCTGCTGGGGCAGCTGGAGAAGATGGAAAAGAACATTTCTAAGAGGCAGAACGAGAACATCACTGACCTCTCCAAGGAGATCACGCTCCTCAACAAGCTCATCACCGAGCTGGAGGAGAAAATCCAGCAGCCCATGCTTGAGTTCCTCAAGGTGAGATGTCAGCACCTAGTCACAACCTTATTCCTCCTTTTTCAGTGTTTTTAAGGATCCCATAGAGGTGTTTTGGGGGTAAAAGTCTTTTTTTATTCTGTCTTTAATGAGTGGATGGTGCAAGGAGGTGTCTGAGTGCCCCAAGCTCTCTCTGGCTGAGGAATACCCTGGAACAGAGTGTCCGCTTCAACTTTTATAATTTTTTTTCCCCCATGAACTTGTCTGGACCTTTCTAGTACCCCCAAGCCCTTGGTTTCAAGGTGTTCAGAACTGATTTAGACCAAACTCTTCTTTCCAGGCTGGGAAAACCACCCCGGGGTGCCTGAAATCCCGAAGTCCCACAGCTCTTTTCCCCACCCCTAACGGCAGGAGTGACCTTTGAATGGAGCTTGTTTTTATTGAATTGAGCAGATCCTGCTGGTGGCTCCCCCAGACCTGCACAGGGTTAAATTCCCTCCCAGGCTGTGTTCTGGGTGCTGTCAATATTTGCAGATGGTTTCAGGACTTGGCTGTGGGTGGAAATTCACCCCACGTGGTCTCTGTGCAGATGGTGCTGGTGCCCACGGAAAACACCCCAGAACAATAGTTGCTATTTAATTAAAAGCAGGTTGGGAACTCTGGGCTGGGTCCAGGGTCCTTTTTCAGCCCCTGGAAGGTTACTCTGGCTTTGTGTGGGCTCTGGAATGTGTTTTAAGGGCACCAGAATGAGCAAATAATGGCTCAGTTTGGTGTTTGTTTGCGGTGTTGCAACTTTATTGAGTGTATTTGAACCTTAAATCACCTCCATGATCCACCCTGCCTGAGGGAAAATAATTTCCTTGTCCATCTGAGACATGAGAAGTGTCCCAGGCTTTTCTTGGGGGTGATTAGACTGTGGGAGTCCAGAAATTGTGGAGACATCGAGGTGCAAAGCTGCCCAGTTTATGGCAGGTAGCTCTTGGGCAGGGGGGTACTTGCAGGTACCTCCCACCCCTCAACGCTTCACATGAGATGGGTTGACAGAAGTGGGAGACCAGCAGGGAGACCCCATAAACATCCCCAAGGCTACCAGGTGCCCACGTGTGGGTTCACAGCAGCAGCCAAACGCTGGGAGAAGAACTGGGGAGATTTTTAGGTCACCTGGAGATCCTCCCAACTCACCTGGACAGACTGCTCGGAGCAGGGGGAGGATGAGAGGCCTGTGAAGGTGCCTTCCAGCCTCAAACATGGCACATTCCATGAGGCTGGAGAATTGTGGATGAGCCATGGGGAAGGTTCCCCCGGGGCAGCGAGGCTGGGAGGTGCTGCGGGGAGTGGGATGGGATTTGGTGGGAATGTCACCTACCAGAGCTGGAATCCAACACCTGAGGGATGAATCCACACCTGCTGGCCACATCTCCCAGGGATGGACATCCTGGCTGGGTTTGATGAGTGGGAATCTCTCTGTGGGGGGCCGGAGCACAGGGATTTCACCCAGTCTCTCTTTTTCCTTTCCAGGATGTGATGGGTGTCATAAGCAGGTATGGAATTCTGCTCTCCCTGATGCCGTCAGGCTTCCACTCCTCCCCATCCCTGTCTGGAGGTCAATGTCCACACTCCGGGTGCCAGAGGGAGGCACCGGGAAGGATGGAATTTGCCTCCCACTCTCTGCAAGCCCTGGGTCTCCTCCAGCTTCTTGGAAATCTGATTTTCATAGTGTCTTTTTCCTCCCAGTGGGCTTCTCCAAGGGTCAAGGGAGACCAGAACCCCCAAATTCCTTTTTTTTTTTTTGCTCACACACAGTTTGCCCAGCACTGCGGTTCAGGCACCACCAAGCTCCAAAAATTACACTGGAGCTGCAGCAGGAGCAGCTGCCAGGAGGGAGGGGTGGTGGGTTCGGGGGTTTACCCAAAAAAGTCCCCCCATCACCTCAGAGAAGCCCCAAAATCCACACCCAAATCCTGATTTCCTCGCCCCAAGGAGGGTGAAATTTCAGCAAGATCCTCTGGGGAGGATGGGGCAGGAGCATCGGTGGCAAATGGCGATGGAAGTGGGGGAATGTCAACAATTTCCTCATTGTTTTTCCCTTTCCCTTGGTAGGAGCGACGACGTGAAGTGCCACAAGCCCATCCCCGTCTGCACCGACATGAAGATGCACGTCTGCAACTTCTCCATCAAAACTGTTGTCCTTGAGAAGGTCTTGAAGAAATTCCGAGGTGGGTGGAAAAGGTTTAAAAATAATCTTTGGCCTTTCCTGGCACTGGCAGGGAGGGGTGGGAGTGCCTGGGGTGCTGCTCGAGGCCTCCTGGGGACCAAAACTGGAGCAGAAATCAGTTGGAAAGGGATTCTGGACATCCTTGTTCTCATTCTGGAGATGGGCATGAGCAGGAAGAAATTCATCCTAGATGGGGAAGGAAATGTGGGGTTGTTTTAAAGAGGGGAATATCTGAGTGCGAACATCAGTTTTGGTGCAATAAAAACTTTAATTTCAAGGAGTTTCATGCTGAAATTGCCAAGCCCTGGGTTTGCAGCAAAGCAGGAAACCACGAGATGGTGCTGAGAGAGCTGGAAAGGCAAAATGCACCAAAAAGAACAGCTCTAGAAGAGAAAAAACTGAATCATTTCTAAATGGAAATTACACCCTGGGGCAAGAACTGGCCTCAAGGATGTGCTCAGGGCTTGAAATTCCTGAGGCGGAGATGTGGCAGGGCATGATAAATGTGGTTTAAATAAATCTTGTGTTTTCTTCATGCCCAGAAGGGGGTTTTTAATGAAAATTAAATATATTTGACAGGGGTTCTCCCCTGTTGTGCTGGTCCATCCTCAGCTTGCTTTGGTGCCACAGTCCCATAAAGGAGACTTGGGGGATCCATTGTCTCTCTGGGTGTCCATTCATGCCCCTGTCTTTCCTTCTTTTCAGAACACCTGCAGGACGAGCTGGGAAGAGGTGAAAAAGGTAAAAAAGATGATGTTTCACACATAGGGCCCGGAGCAAAGACTCAAAATTGTGGTTGTATTTTGCAAAGCCAAAGAGAGTGGGACAAAAAGGAAGAGGAAAAAAAAAAAAAAAGGAAACCACACTCTAGATTTCTTTTTTTCTTTCTTTTTTTTTTTTTCCTTAATTTCTTCTCTCTCGATGATTTCCAGATCCAGCCTGCTCAGCTCCAGAGCCCAAAGCCGATTTTTCTAATTGACGCCGGGGATCTGACAGCTCAGCCAGGTCCTCTCTGCCTGTTTGCACTTAACAAACCCATAGATTTGAGACCAAAAAACCATTCTGAGCCACAACTGGCTCTTAGTCTGCCAAATTTGCTCTGGTGGGCTCCTGTTTCCACCAGGGAATTGGGATGGAGGCTGTGAGCTCCGGCATCTGTTCCAGTGTGAAGTCAGAGGAGTTAAATCCCAGCAGAATTTGGTTAATTCCTTAAGTTATTTAAGAATTTAAATAAAAACCCAGCAGAATTTAACTTGTTTTTGAAGTTAATTAAGAATTTAACTCCTCTTCACAGGAGAGGTCATGAATTTGAGGGGCAAACCCAGCCAAAAACAATTTCCATGCTAGATGAGCCCCTGAGAACGGGCTCTGCAGGAATTCTGGGATCAACCCCATCCCTCTGAGCTCGACCTGAGATTAAAATCTATCCCATCCGCACCCCCTTGGTGTGAAGGTGCCCAGAGCAGAGTTTTCAGAAGAAAAAGCTCATTTTTTGCTTTTAAAGCTGTGGTCTCAAGCACGGCGGTCTCAAAGGAGGACAACCCATGGGTTGTACCTTTTCCAAGGATTCTGCTCACAAACAGCACACCCAGACACCTCTGGAAATGCCAAAAGGTGGCAGAAAGCACAAGGAGAAACCTGGTGACCACCACTGAGAAGCCAAAGGCCCCTCGCTGCATGCCGGGGGGGTGGGTGCATGTGCAGAGGTGTCACTCGCTGTGTGTTGTCCCATGACATTGTGGTTAAACCTCAAGCCCAAATCATGACAATTCCAGGGTCTGGAGATGCCTGAGAAAGGAAAACACTTTGTAAAAAGATGGGCACTGATGAAATCGGCTCGGTCCAACCTGTTTCCCCACAGTTTTGCTGGTGGGATTTGCAATCTCTGATGCAGGAGATACTGGTTTTTGACCACTCTCACTTTTTGGAGGAACCTGATGCTTAAGTTTTGAAGGAAAAACGATCCCAGCCTTCCCTGACCTTGTTGTGACTTTCCCCACCTTTATGAAGCACCGTGAGGCTTTTAATCACACTGTGCCTCTTTTGGGGAATTTTTGTGTCAATTCCTGACCCAAATCTGTGAATTTTGGAGAACACAAAGGCCTTTATGGTGAGGCACCTGCCGTGTTTCAGCTCCTGAGGCCCCATTTTAGACTCCCCTCAAAGTGTCTCATGGATTCATGGTGACTTTGCTGACTACAACCACAATTTGAGGTCACTCATTGTTTCCTCTGAGCCTGAGTTTGGAAAGGGGAAGAACAATCTGTTAGGACCAGGCTGCACCCGCATGTTTGGTTTGGGCTACTTCAGGTGGAAAGATGCCCTTAGGTCATGGCTTCCCACAAGGATTTGGATGCCTTTGGGGTGGTTTGGGGATCAAAACTCTGTGATTTGTGATGCCAGGGGAGTGCGGAGCCCACCCGTGGGTGGATGGGCTGGAAACCAAGATAAAAAATCAGTTTATGTGGAAAAAGTGTTCTTGATCTAAGGCCCATCTTTGCCGTGGATAACTGCAAATTATCTGCACGTGCTTTTGTGGTGTCCTTTGCTCCTGGTGGCCTTGTGTTGTTGTCACCCCCTTTCTCACCAGAAAGCAGCATGAGATCAACCCCTACTTGAGGGATTTGGGGTTTCCATGGGGGTGTCAGTGTGGGGTGGGGTTATTGGGGTTGGGCTGGGGTTATTGAGGTCTGGGCTAGTCCAGAAACTGATAACCCCCACCCTGAGCTGGGCTTTTCGTTGCTCAAACCCTCACTGAGTTGTCACTGCTGTCCCCAACAGAGGACCTGACCCTGGACCCTGACTCAGCCAACCACCTGCTGATCCTCTCCGCTGACCTCAAAAGTGTCCGGATGGGCTGCAGGAAGCAGGAGCTGCCCGACAACCCCAAGCGCTTCGACACCAACTCACGGGTCTTGGCCACCACGGGTTTCAAGTCAGGGCGGCACTACTGGGAGGTGGAGGTGGGGCCGTCGGACGGCTGGGCCTTCGGTGTGGCCAAGGAGTCCATCCGCAGGAAGGGGCTGACGCAGTTCTCCCCCGAGGAGGGGATCTGGGCCATGCAGCAGAACGGGGGCCGCTACTGGGCCGTCACCTCACCCCAGCGCACCCCGCTGTGCCTCAGCCACAAGCTCAGCCGGGTCCGGGTGTACCTGGACTACGAGGGTGAGGAGGTTTCCTTCTATGACGCTGAGAACATGCAGCACATCTTCACCTTCAACGTGGCCTTCCAGGAGAAGATCTTCCCCCTCTTTTCAGTCTGTTCCACTGTCACCTACATCAAACTGTGCCCCTGAGGTGCCTCACGGAGTGCCAGGGAAGCGCTTTGCCCCTGGATGAGCTCAAAAGACTCAAATCAGCCTGGTTTGGTGGGACGTGGGCTGGGGGACGGGCAACCAGGTGGTCAGGAGAGCATCACAAAGAGGGTCTTCAGGACAAGTGGAAGCAGAGAGATGTCCAGCGGTGCCCAGAAATTGTGGCTGCCAGCTTAAAGGAAGGTTGTGGTCACCAGCTTTAAAGCTGTGGTCAGCAACTCAAAGATCATGGCCACCAACTCAAAGGCTGTGGCCACCAACTTAAACCCACCCCTGGAAGGGGTGACAAGCTCAGCCTCAGAGAAGGAACCCTCCAGATGTCATTTGTGGCTCCGGGTCTGACCCCACATGAGGGTTTAAGGGTCTGTGGGAAGCTTTGGAGTGGCTTTTCCACCCCTTTGGATGTGCCAGTGGCTGGGAAATGGAATATTCATAGGGTGAATGACCGTTGGGAAAGGTGGGATTGAGCAGGCATCTTTGGACATCCATCCAGGGCAAAGCTCCTCTGTTTGTCCACAGAGAAGAAATGTAGTCAGAAATTTCCTTTCTCCAACCTGGGGTAATAATTGTCCCCCAAAAGTTGTTTTTGGAATGTCGTGACAGTTGTCCGAACTGTCTCAGGTGACCGCTGTCCACCAGATCGGACCTGTCCAGTGTGGAAGAGTCTGTGGGGGTTTTGGCTGCTCTCCCTGTCTGGTTCTCCACCCAGGGCTCCTCTGGAAGACTATGGAAAAGGTTAGAAGGTGCTTCTTTTGGATTTTTTTAGTAACGTTTGTCCTGCTGGACCTGAGCAAGACCCACATTTGTCCCTCTGGTGCTCCTGTGCTAAGGCCTCTCTGTGGACAAGATGTTCACAAAATATCTCTCGTGGTTCTCACACTTTGCTTGGATTTAGGTGCTGAATCTTGTGCTCCCTCAGGTTCCCAGCAAAATCACCCATTTACCCTCATTTCTTGGGTTGTTTTGTTTTGTTTTTTTCCCTGGAAACCCTTTGTCTGCCAAGGAGCCTAAGCTGAACTTTTGCTTCATCCACTCCGGTTTTGCTAAAAAAAACCAAAAACAAAAACAAAAACAAGCAGCTTTGAAAAATAATCTTATTGCCTGAAGTGCTGGTAAAGTGAGGCTCTGGGATTGGTCAGCTTTGGGACTTTTTCCACAAAACACATAAATCCTTTTAGGAAATGACAGACTTGGGGCAAGGTGGGGGGAAAGTTTATTTGGTCCATAACAACATTTCCTGGGTGGTTTCAGATGAGAAAAAACAGAAATATCCCAAATTTTCAGCTGTTGGGTTGGTTCCTACCCTGAGATTCAAATTTATATATTTTATTTAATGAGTTAGCTGGTAAATCCACATTATTTAAAGGTGCAGCAACTCTTACAAAGATGAAGCCACAAGCAGTGGAATAAAATGTGTGACTCTTGGGAGCTTCATCCCCTACTGAAGCAGCGCTGCTGAAGAAATGACAGAAATAGATGAAAATCCCTGGAATAAGGAAGATATTCACAGGGCCACAACT